ATGAGACATCATTTCATACTACTCAGACAACTATTGAAAGAAAAAGCAGAACCTCATATCCACTTGAAACTACATGAGGCAAGGACAGGACCAATGTTGTCTCTAGTCACTATGGTCTCTTAATCCACATTATATTTTTTGATCTCCTGACTTGGCCCTTGGCAGTCAGAAAGGGGAAGTGAGTCTGCTAGAGCTTGTCAAGTCATAAACCACAATTTTCCCTATAGCTAAAAGAGATTTGGGGCATGGGGGCAATTTTCAACTGCTCAGAGCAATGCTTTGGCAACATAGGGGAGTATTTATTGGTAGTTGATGCCTTCTGGGGAGATAACTATGCTTAGAGTGGCAGCCGGGGGAGGCTTTCCACTGTCACAGGACAGCAGGAACAGGGATCTGGCTCCAGCACTGGACTGGACAAATATAAGCCCTCTGCTTGCTTATGAAAAGTCAAGATTTAGTAACATATAGATGGCTGGGAATATTCTAGTCTGCCTAAACAAACCTTTCTTCATACCATCTGCATTGCCATATCCCAACAGTACTGTGACACAGGAGTACTTCAAAATAGTCCTCTTAATCTGTGTGCCTTTATTTCCAAACCAAAGATGTGCATACTGAGCCACTAATTAAGAAATAAATCCCTGCAGGGTGTGTATGGATGAGGTGAGGATTCTCTTGTCTGTCCCTGCTCTCCCTCTCCAAGCAGTAGCCCTGTCCCCTCAGGGAGTGGCTGAAGGGAGGCTGGAGGAGCCACTGGGGGGAGCAGAGCCCAGCTCCCAGCGCACTGCTATGGCACCTGGACCCTGTAGTATGGTGCTGTGGCTCTTGCACTGCTGCCACCTCACCCTTAGTCCTGTATGAGGTGAGGCAGAGGGTCAGCCAGTGACAGGGCAGGCCTCGCCTGCCGCCTTGGAGGATGAGGTTCAGCCTCCTTCAGCAGGCCTCCACCCTGGGCTGCCATGTTGTGGCTTACACTGGGAAAGCACTTTTGCTGGGCCACAGCAGCCTCCCCCCATCCCAGCCACTGAGTCTCCCCAGCAGGGAAGGGTAGCACATAGCCCGTAGATACACGGGTATGTAGCCCTGTCAGCCACTTCAGGCACCTGGAAGAGCTGGCCCTGAGCACCTGCCCCTCAGTCACCGTGCAGGGTGGTATGGGGATACATGCAGGGCGTGACTCATTCTGGGGACGCATTTGCTTTGCCCCTCCATCTTTACAGTGATGGCGGTTCTGTGCCACGGAGTTACTACCAAAGTGCTGTTTTGGGCACTTTGTGTGCTGCCAGCACTCATGTGGTTTAAACCCTTCCCTGGGATCATACTGATGAAGCTTAACCCTGCCCCAAAGGCTTGTCCCCTGCCAGGCATGGCCTGCAGTAGTGCTGTGCCTGTCAGTGGCAGTAACGGGGTATTACTATCTTCACTCTATAGGGACTTGCTTGACAACTACTGTTGAGAGCAGAATGATGTATCACAGTAAATAAATCATGGTGAAAACTCATCCACCCTAAGAAAGCTGTGTCTCCTCAGGGCAGGCTCCCCTAGGCACTTCTCTCTCCCCTCAGGCAGCCCATGTTGGTGACAGGCCCAAAATACCAGGTTGTCAACTGGTCACCCAGCTTTTTTGTGAGGGATTTGGGAGGAAGGCTCCCACCATGGTCCCAGCCCCGCCTGGGGGGCAGTACTCTGCCGTGGCTGTGATGCAGGAGGCTGAACCCTGCACCCAGGTGTGGGCAATTGGGGCTGCTGGCAGCCCTTCCCCTTCCAGCAGGGCAGGTGGACAGCTTTCAAGAGAGGCTGCGGTAAATGGCAACTCTCTTCTTGAAAATCATCACAATTTCATAACAAGGGCTTGTTTTTCTAACAGGAAAGTATTAACGTGGAAGTCTCTAGGAGCACAAGGACAATGCATCTTGAGCTGTAAGTTTTGACTCTTTAGTTTGTGTTGCCATTCATGTCTTCCAAGCTTTAGAGGAGCATGAGAGGTGAGGAGGATCTCAGGCCTATGCCTGCGATCTCAGCCCTTGATATTTTTGACTGAGCACTGGAAAATATGAAGTGAAGTAGGCAGGCTCACGGACTAGCCTCAGTTGTTGAGAATTTATACCAAGCTAAGAATGAGTTGTGATTACTTTTGAAAATGAAATATCCTTCTTGAAAACCTAAAACCCACTGTTTTCTCTTTTTCCTTTCTGTTGAAAGTCTCTCTTTTGGTGTAGAATATTTAACACGTTCTTAGCTTTTAAAATGTAGTTTATACTGATGCCAAAATATTCTGGTTTCTTGCTGAATTTTAATAATATGTTTTTCTTCAGAAGCTAGAAGACTCCTGAAAATAAAGATACCCCAAAGTATTAACATTTGGTTTTATGTTTGGCTAATGTAAACCTTTTGTACTTTACTGCATATGTTGATTGAGTGTTTATCTACCACTGCCACTTCAGTGTAATTTGTGTTCTGCCCCCACACTCCTCTTTTTTTCTTTTTATTTTTCACCAAATGTATTTTCTGTGCCTTATGTGGAATAACCAGAGCAAATTCTTTGATGTTCACATGCATACCTCTGTTCACATAAGTATGCCCATTTTGGTGATGCTCTTTTCCCATATACATCAGAAATCCTGGTCAGAATCCATGATGGTTAGGATGCCACATTCAGGGGGACTATCTAGAAAACAGTTTGGCTTTTTTTCTTATAGTTCTTTTGCTTTTAGAATTACAACTACAGATTGAAAAAAAAAAAGAATAATTTTAATGTAATATATCTAAACTCAGGTGATATCTATGGCTATACATTTATATGTGTTTTTGAAGAACTTAATCATCAGGATGTGCTGTGTGAAAACTTCTAGGAAATTGTGCAGATACATGATTTAAACCACTATAAGTTTCTAGTTTCTGACTAAAAAATGAAGATTAGTCTTTAACTTGACTGTCTTATAACCCCAGCTTTGTCGATGGCTTAGTTTTGCAGCATAATTTGCAGTGTAATTACTGCTGATGAATTATCATGAGTTGTAATGGAAGTGTGTTGAGTTTGTAATGCAAGTTTACAGAGAAGGAAGGAAAGGGCATGTTTTGGAACGTCACACTAATTCTACATTTCCCTTACACGTTCAGTCCACAGTATCTTTATATTACTTCTGCATTCTGTTAATCTCTGGGAGATTTTAGTGGGAGAGGAAATATTAAATGGAGTGGGAAGCTTCAAGTACTCCAGTTGTTATCAAGGGTTAGATCCTTGTCAGTTCTAGTAAGTGAAAATACCCATCAAAGTAGATTCTACTTCTATGGTTCCCTCTAACTGCACCTTAAGTAATTCTTACTTTGTATCTTCAGATGCACTGAAATTACCTGAGCTTTCAGAAGCTTTTGTAAGTACATAATAATGCTGTAAAAGGTAAAATACTGCAACAAATTACAAATTAAGTAGGATAACAGAAAGCAAAAAGAGGAATGGAGTCAAAAAGCAAAATCGCCTAACCTACTCCTACAGGTTTTGCTATACTAGCTCTTGCTAATATATTTATGAATGCTGAGTGCTAAAAATGAAGAAATAAAAAAAAAAAAAAAAAGCTTCATTAGGTGAAAACTTAAAACAAAACGAAACACTGAGTGTACAAAGTCATCTGATCCACTGAAAGTGCTTGAGTTCTTGTAGACAGAAGGCTTCTGGTGCCTGAGCCACAGGCCCCTCAGGACAGGACTTAACATCAGAGCAGTAAGTGACCAAGAAGCACAAGGAAAAAATTATGATAGTTCAAAACAATTTACTTGTATGTATTATTAACAGTGCTACTCTTTCCAAACTGAATTAACAGCAATTATTTAACAATGACCACAGCCCAGATTTGTAAAAATATTTAGCATCCCTTGAAAAAAAACAGTGTGTGCCTGCTTAGTTTTTCAAGTGTGAATGACACATATTAAAGAAGATCATGCTGGAGAGTATTAAGGCAGAGGAAAGCAAGTGAAACCTCTAGTAGGAAGAGAATGTTACTAGAAGAGTTAGGTAAACCAATAGAACACATTTCCCTGGAATGGTGTAATCTCTGATGAAAGGGAAATTGTTAATAAAGAATCTCAGAGTTGTGAAGGATACATAAAATCTTTCACAGAAACTGAATGTAATAGACCAGGCAGTTAAGAGATGATAAATCATAAGCAGAAATATATCTAATTACTTCTTGGCTGGTGTTGAACCAAGATATTGAACTGCTGGACTGATCCAAGTTGGCAATTTGGCATTCTTATGCCTTTTTGTTTCTATTCCAGTTATTTTAAATCTAAATTTTAAAAGTGGAAAGGAGTACCTTTCTGGAAGTTCAGGAAATGTATTTACGAAATATTAATGTTTATACATCTAAACCAAAAATGGAGGAGAAGTAGCAACTGATTGAAACTGTTGCACAAGCTTACACTGCCTGCAGCAACTGACAGTGTCTGAATGAATTATTAAATATGTAGGGTGAAATAGAGGAATGCTTTACTGTATCCTTTTCCTTAGTAACATTTGAATACTGTTATTTTTCTTGTTTATTTTATCTTGTTTCATGCCAGATGTTTTTATGAGGGAAAACAATGGTGGTGTATTTTAATATTGATGAGTTGATTCTCCTGGGAATAACAGTATACCTACCTTCTCAGAAAATGAATTGTGGGAGGTTTTTTATAGTGTAATTACCATAATGCATTTAATTTTGAGTGAAACTCTTTAAAACTGTGGAAAGAACTTTTTGTTTATTATCTTTACTTTCAGAACGACTCTCCTTTTAAAATTATGTAGCTGTTTTGGTGGCTCTTAAAAAGTAAACATGTAAATCACCAGAGGTACTGCATGTCAAAGTAGCATATGCTTAGGCACCTTATAAACTATTAAATAATCATAATATTTCTCTTTCCAAGGTTATTGGTTTATTCATTTAAACAACTGCAGAGTAATTAAAGTACCTTGTTTTAACTTTTTTTTTTTTTTTTAAAATTGTTCTTTTACCCTCCAGGAACTTGAACATTGAAGTTCTGAAATTATAAAAGATTTAGTGACAAGCTGAACTTGCAATGCAGGCAATAAAAACCGTGGAAAAAGAAGTGACTTTTATAAAGGAAATACTTTTCACAGAATCCTTCCTAAAGAAACAAGAGTGGAGCAGAAGCCCGGAGCGCAGGCGGCTCTGTGAGCAGCAGCCATTGGAAGGAGCTGTCTGCAGCTCTCAGTGCTGTACTGAGCATGTCCCAGCGGAGCCCAGTGCAAGCAGCACATTATGCAAAAAGGCAGCTCTAGCAGATGGGAGAGAGGCACAGCAAGCATTTGCTTCACTTGCATCACCACGGCTTGAAAACAAACCTGGATCGCTAGAGGGGATCTCGCCGACAGGCCAGAGGAATGAAATTTGGGAGCATGGCTTGATTGCCGAAGGTGTTGCACTGCAAAAAATCATGGGGAATCAAGATGGGAAACTAAAGAAAAATACAGGTGATGTGCACGAAGGAGGAGAGGATGCTTCCGGGCCCAAGGATACAGATGGCACAAAGAAGGTATCGGGAAGCAGAAGGGGACTGGGGAAGCATGCAAAAGGAAGTGAATCCGGTAAGAAGAAGGGTAAGTCAGACTCAAGGGCCTCAGTGTTTTCAAATCTGAGGATCAGAAAAAATCTGTCCAAGGCTAAAGATGGGAATAGTAGTTCACGGGAGGATGTTTTGGAAAGCCAGGCCTTGCAGGCTGGAGAGCTGGACAGTACTCATTCAATTGTTACCAAAACTCCAGATATAAGCATCTCTGCAGATGAAGGTGGTCTCTCGGACACAGATGTTGAACATTTTGAAATCAGAAATGAAACTGTTCCAGCTGCTGCAGAGACACAGGATGGACAAAGGACCAGCTCTGGCTCTGATACGGATATATACAGTTTCCATTCAGCCACAGAACAAGAGGATTTGCTTTCTGATATCCAGCAAGCTATTAGACTGCAGCAGCAGCAGCAGGGGGCAATTAACATTGGAACTGAGGACCTTGTCACCAAAACAATGGGCCGACACATGGCTAATTCGCAAGCAACCCCCTTAGATTTTGAACGGTTTCTTTCAGTAACTACCGCCGACAAAGAGAGGAGCCCAGACACTGAGGGGGCTTTTCCAGCAATATCTGAAATTGCAGAAAACATTCCCGTTTCCTGTGCAACTGAACGTGAACTGAAAGAAGCAGTAAGCGGCACAGGCTCTCCTGGTAACAGCTTATTTGAAACACAAGAACGTAAGCTATTGATAGAGGAACAGGAACAGCTCATTGCTGGAGTGGATGCTGTAGCTAGTGAACTAGAAGATGATTTAAATAGAACTGCAGTAGAAAACGAGTCTCAGACACACAGCTCCACACAACCTTTTCCAACCTCAGTAGCAGATGCTGACGCTAAAATTGCTGAAGTGCAGGCTGTTGATTTGCAGGGCTCAGTAACAGAGGACGGTATTTCAGATGCAGGCCGTGATCATGCTGCTGAGACTCAGGAAGGGAAACACTCTCTGTCAGCCAGTCAAGAGGACCTGCATAATGGTTTATCCATGGAAATGAAAAATGGCATTTTGTCCTCCGAGGGGACAACAGGCAGTCCGATGCTTGGTTCCCGATGCTTTAAGCCCTATCTAATTAATCCTTGTTACATCAAAACTACAACTAGGCAATTGAGTTCTCCCAACCATTCACCTTCTCCCTCCCCATCCCAGAGCCCACTTTTCACAAGGAGGCAGGAGTCCTTCCAGAAAAAAGAAAAGGTCTCAATCAAGAAGCAGAGGTCTGCTAGTTTGGCAGGTTTATTTAGTCGTTCTGCAGACTGGACAGAAGAGGTGTCTAATCACAGATATGAGATAACACAGAAGGTGGGCTCTGCGGGCTACTTGGAGCACAAGGGGTTTAGAGAGAAATTTCAAACAGAAAGAGTGCCTTTGACTCATTCAAGAAAGTCCTCAGGGGTGCAGGCTTCTACAGAGACGTTTCCCAATGTCTTTTCAGGTGAGTGACATGTATTAAGGTTGTTGGTTTTTGGTTTTTGGGTTTTTTCCCCCAGAGAGTCTTTGAAACTATATTTAAAAAAAACTTAACTTTAGTCCTTTGCATGTAAAGTTGTCTTTACTTGTGCTGACAGTTTTAAAATAGAAGGCCTGATCTTACAAACACAGTCACATTTCATTAACGAGCATAGCCTCTCCTATTCAGTTTCAGCCTGGCAGTACTGCCAGTAAAGGAAGTGCATAACTCTTTGAAGTTATTCTTTCTGCTATTCTCCTTTGTCTAAATCCTGTAGGAAAAGGCTGGATGCCTTAAATTGTTCTTGTTGAAAAATGCCAAGAGCTGCACTGTTGTAGGCAGACCAGCTCTCTGCATAAATAGATCTTTCAGATGAGAAGCTTTCTCTAACTGTGATCCTGTTTGGGGTTTTCTTGTGCTAGACACTGTTCTGATGTACTGTAAGTATTTGAGAGCTGCACCTGGTGTTAGACTGAGGCTGCGATGAGGATTTGCTTAGTACGAAAAGGAAAATCCCATGCAAGCACAGATGGACAGCACTACAGAAAGGAACCAATTTCCTCTTCAGAAGGGAGAAAGAGGAGAAGAAAAAAATGTTAATGACTTGAAAAGGCAGTATAAAATGGAGAAGGGAAACTGTGGGTAATACAATTGGATAGCTGTGACAGGCTGCTGCTCAGGCTGTGTAAGGTAATTAATTCAGGAAAGCATTCTTTTACTTTGCCTGTTAGGCAGCTTGCATCCTCTCACAAAGATATAGAAATATAGAGTTTACAAATGGTGTGAATGGATGGTTATATTTTCCTGCACTTTGAGGTTTTAGTCCCCTTTCTCTTTCCACTCCCACCCTCAACTTACATTTTCTATATAAAGCTACTGTATTCACAAACAGAGAAGGCCTCTGCTACATAGGAGGTATGTATGCAGAGGAAACTCAGCAACATATTCCATTTATTTTTCACTTAAGAAAACTGTAGAACCAAAAGAATAGAGAACATGCTCTATGAGCATCTGTTACAAGATTGAAACAGTTGAATCTATAATCAGGTTTGTTTTGAATGGAAGTCTGTTCTAGATGCATGAGCACAGTAAGCACATAGGTACGTAAGATATTTGTGCTTTTATGAAAACTAAACAAAATAGTATGGCTTATGATAGGAACAATGACGTGATTTAAAAATCACATGTGAGAAGACAGTTAAGCCATCAACAACTGTTTTACATAAAGACTTTTGTACTGTAGTTTTTAAAAATTATATAACTTGTAATCACTGTGCATATTCTATTCTGCTTGACATCACAGTAATACTGGTGAATAAACCTATCTGGAAACAGAAATTAAAATTAATGACTTTTCTGCACAACAGCGGACTCCAGGAGTTTGAAATAATCATGTAAAGCACTAGCATTATTCTCCAGATTCAAATCAGAAAAATACCTTGATTCTTCAGCAGTGTCAAACAGAAATCCCCAATTTCAGTCTTGAAAATTAGAATTCAAATTTTTAACCCAAAAAAAGCCACCCTTCTCTGAAGGAAAGCAGCCCCCTATGAACTGAGCTGAATCTTTTTGTGCTTTTTAAATCCCTTCCACCTTAGATTTAATTTCAGACATCCCTACCTGAATTTTTAAAATTTGAGGTGATCAGTACTTTCAGGCTTATAGCATATAAAAAGCACACCACCTTTTTTTTTTTTTTTTCCTATGGACATTTGACAGCTTATAAACAACTCAGCAAAGCTTTAAATTGCATCATCAATAATTAGACTTGCTTCTGTGGTGGCACTATGATAGAAATAAATGTTATGTGGCAAACTTCAAGAACATGGAATTACTTTTTAGAGACCTGTTTTCCAGGAAACACTTTTTCACATTTCTTCACAAGGTTTTGATTTACTTATTAATAAGTTTTGTTGTGTTTCCCCATCAACACTTTAGACTATTATGTGAAGGGACCAATGTCCAATGCAACAGTAGTTCTGTCTCTTATGGAAATTTTGGTGACCCTTATTTGCATGTACATACCAGCTGTCTTTACAGGCAGAGGACAATTATATACCTTTCAGTTCATGCAGAAAAGCTTGAAATGAGGGAACTACAAATGACATGATTACACTTCATCTCTTTTTGATCATTCTTATTTTTTAAACATATATTTACAAGATGAAAATTATTAATAATATAAAAATAACAACTATTGTACACAAAAAAGGGAGATTAAACTTAGCATTAGTATTCCCACAGACTGGCTGTCATTGCTGTAAGAGCAGAAAACTCTCTTTATTTAAACCAATCTGCACAGCAACAATTACAGAAATATTTTCCTTGTAATTTGAATACTGATTTTGAAAAATGTTGTATTTTAATTGCATGCATGAGATGCATCAATTTGGGGATTACCATCAGGCTCTTATATTTATAGAAATAACATTCTTTATAGTGGCTCATTTCTCTTAAAAAAAAAAAAAAAAAACAAAAAAAAACAACCAAACAAACAAGCAAAAAAAAACCAACAAAGAAACAGAAAAAAAACCCAGCTTCTTGCCCAGAGCATTAAATCCCATCTTGCTGTGCAGTGACTGCAGTGTAGTTCTGCATTTCTAACTAGAATCAAGTAAAATATTCCACAACACTTTCAGTCATATATTTTAATGACAGCAGTTTCTATGCAGATGACTGGCCTAGTTTTTGCACTGTGTTGTGGTTTGGCTGTGTGCTGTTTGGTTTTCACAATTATCTAAATGAACACTTCTAAGGCTGCTTTAATGTAAAATGTAGATGGACGCCAACAACTGGGATAGTAGATAACTTGCATATTTTAATGTTGCTTTATATAAGAAATAAGTATGGTATTTCAAATCTGATACATTGGCTAAGGAGGTGGTGTGGACAAATTTGTGGGCATTTTGTAATTCAGGCATTGGACCTGTTTCTTTTATGATGAGGACAGCTGTATTTGTAATTGCAGTGACAGTAATTACAAGTTCTAGATTACTTGATGCACAGTGGAGCCATGGCTTTTATGTAGTGGTCCCAGGAGGACAAGACCTGAACCTGGAATGAATAGAGTTGGCACTCTCACTTTGGTATGTGTCAATGAGTGATTTGCACTAACATTAAGAGTATCTTGGTGGGAAAATGAAATTGATGTTTCCAAACATTAACATAACTGAAATGGAAGAGCTAATAGATTGATTTAATGAAAATGAGTTTATTTTCTCATTAATGTGAGGTGCAGTGATTGCAGAAGAGCTACTAAGGGCGTCTGTTACATAAACTAAGAGACTCATCAGCTGCCCCAGATGGTAATTAAACTCGACCCAGACAAAACCATGCCCTTTCTCATCTCTGTTTTCTGTCTGTAACACCCATGCTGTATATATCTCTTTCAAACAGATCATTTACCTTTAAATTTCTCTTCAGAGATTTATATTTGTCCTGCTCTAGCTATAAAGAGGAGACAAACAAAAAAACTGACCTGAGTCAGTCCCATGCTTGTGTGCTCACGGCTGCTTTTGAGTTCCATGGCCTGCTTTTCACAAAGGCCACTTCATCTCACTGTGCTAAGGTCAACTGCACTTGCAGTTCCAGTGCAGCATCGCAAAGATATACAAAGGTCTTACTATAGATAAGTATGTGAAAACTTGAAAAAGCAGGATGAAAGTTTGTTTCCGAGACATAAAGTAGATCTTTTCAGATACTTTTTCAAGTTGTTGTGGGTTTTTTTCATTCTGATTCATGTGATGATGCACACAAAATGCATCTGTGTCTACTGGCCTCCTGATAAGAATGTTTACCCTGCAACTGTTATTTAAGACTACTGACGGTTTACTGTTTCTCTGATGTTTGCTAGCAGTAATACAAATGTTACTTTTGTCAGATAGAAGGACAGTGCAGCCTACTGTAACTAAGGGAGCTGCCTGACATCACCCCTTCATGTGAACATACAGTCCTCAGAGCATTGCTAGTAAGCATCTGAATGGAAAGATCCTCCTCATTTTTGCTTAGTAAGCCCAAACCTAGAGGGGGGGAGGGCTGCAATACTGAACTCCAACTACAGTAAAATGTGTCTGGAAATAGACTGCAATATGTTTTTGAAAGACTGCTGAACACTGATAAGTTGCTTCAATGTTACCATGTCAGCACTGAAATATGGGAATCAGAGGAACATGAGTAATGTCAGTGGAATGTAGTGCTGCCACAAGCTTGTTTTGATGGGGTCTCATGATTAATACTTTGATCCTTATCCAGAACTTCATTGAGAGTGGCAGGTTTTGGTCATGGGGTTGAGTGGCTGCATCTCTTGGACAACTTCCTTCTGACCAGCAACCCCATTCTGAGGTCTGACTGGCAGCCTGACTCATGTCTGGAGTAGAAGTCTGTTGTCTTGGTTGCCTGCTGATCTCTTTTGGGGTTCAAAGGGGAAAAGGAAAAGGGGCAGTTTATAGCTGGAGGTCCAGCGCCTCTGGGTCCGATGCATAGTACCAGTATAATATCCGTCACACATGTGATATGGCTAGAACTGATCATTAAAGGACATTGAGTGTTTCAGTGATTTAATCTCTGTGAAAAGAGCAGTGGATTATTCCAGTGGGAATACTTATATGGAATTTAGTTTTGAATATATTTCTTGTATGTGCTTTATTATTTTTTTAAAAAATATATATTATTTAGCAGTTTGAGGGAGCGGTTAGTCTGTTGGGTTTTTTTTTCTTTTTTTTTAAACTGTGCATAGGCCCCTTTGCAGAAAAAGCTCTATTCCTTGAAGCAGGCCTCATCTTTTTCTCCATGCTGTGATGTCTAAAGAAAAATAAACTTGGAATTAAAAAGCATCTCTAGCAACATTTTAGGCTGCCTGTATATGAGGGATTAAGTTCTAATATGAATCATGATGATAGAAAATACAAAAATACTAATTAGCTAAGGTAATTTTGTGCTGTAGTTTAACCAAGCTCAGGATATGGCCTAGTGTATTCCTTATAAAC